TCGTCTGAACAAACCTCCGCCTGCATTCTGCGCCTGTATAAGAGACAGTACACACACACACACACACACACACACACACACACACACTCACTCAAACACACATTCGCGCGCACACACACCCACACACACCCACAAACACCCACACACCCACACACCCACACCCACACACACACACACTTTATTTTTTATTTTAAATTTGGTAAAGAATTTCGATGTGACCCTGAAGCAAAAGTTGTTCAGCTTATTTTTCTGCATAACATAGTTTTTTTTCGGATTTTTTTTTTTTTTTTGCTAGGACCTTCCCTGGTCCTCGCATGGCCGGCCGTCCGGAAAAATAGGGTGACATGGGCAGCCCGGCTGGTAGCCTAGGGTTTAACAGCACAGTTTTTTCGTCACTGCTCAACCTCATTTCTAAAAGACTATGTCTTTTCTGCGGTCGCCGAGCCCCTTTTCCCGAAGACAAATATTGTCTTTCTCTTGGTCGCTGGACCCCATTTCTCCAAGACCATCCCCTGAATAGAACATGTGGTCATTATTGCTGCATTTGAGGCAAATCTCAGTTTGGATACGGCAATAGTGACCATACCTGCAGTCACTATTACTGGATTTGGGGCAACTCTCAGTTTAGATACTGCCATAGTGACAGTTGGCCTGCGTGAACAAGATCACAAGCGGCCAAAACACTACGGTAATCATCTTCACCCGAACACGTTAGAGCTGTATTTGGCCCAACTTTTCAGTCCAGACTCCAGATACAGCGACGAAGACCCGGTGTTCTATTCGGGTGACGGCACAGGCTTAGGCATTTTCCTCACTGGCCAATTATAGAACTCCCACATCCTTTTCTCGGCATTGAATATCGCAGGCATCCCCTCAGGAGCAAGGTCCCGCTTGCCTAAATTTCACCCCTTTCTGGCCATTGATCTTCATAATCTACAGCTGAAATGAAGCATCTGAGTAGGCGCCTGGCCCCTGCCACCCAGGTTTGACGGTGAAAATTGGGGGGTCTATTTGTCGATTTTCACAATTTTCAGCACTGCCCAAAACAACCATCTCCAGGAACCCAACAAACACCAAACTTGGCACATACAGACCTTGACCAAAAACAAAACAGGCCAAAAAAAAAAAAAAAAAAAAAACAACAACATGATCCCCACTACACTTTTCATGCTGGTGAAGGTTACCCTAGGGGTGAAAAGTGAGGGTACCTGTTAACCATTTGCCGCAGCCTGGGTCGCAGGCTGTTTTCTCGGAGGGGCCTGCCCTTAAACCACTACTGCAGTACTTACGACCCTTTCTTTGGCAGCCACAAAAGTCGTCACCGCCCGGCACGATGTTCTATCAACAGAACACTCATAAGGGCTAAGCCTTCACTGAATCACTGGTGTCTCTTGCCCATTGGAGGCAACCTGGCCTCAAGGGTGTTGCAGCCTGAGTCACAGGCTGTTCTTGGCCTGCCCTTGAAGCACCAGTACTTATGACCCTTTTCTTTGCTGAGCCTAAAAATGCCCTGCGTGCCAAAAGAGAACGAACCGGCGCATTTACATTTTTGGCTGGCACCGCCAGCCATTTAGCTCTGGCAGGCCGATCCCCCAAAGTTGCAGTGCATTAAACCACTACCTTTCACAGGCAAACTCAAAACACCAATTTGCCACAGAGTTGGTCCAAACTGCATTCTTCGGTTGAACAGTGCTACCGGACCAAAGTGACCGGCGGCACCAGTCAAAACGGAGAAGAAAAAAAAACATGAGAAAAAAAACATTGTGCTGGGGCTTTGGCAAAGCTTGGCACATAGTACCAACCGGGTGTAGCTCAGTAACTGTTGGCGCTGGGGCTTGAAGTTTGGCAAAGCTTGGAGCGCAGTACCAACTGGGTAGAGGACGTTGCGGGTTCAATTCCCATTGACATAACCAGTTGGTACCTTACCTTGGACATAACCAGTTGGTAAAGACGTCCATGGTAGCTCCCTGGTTCGAGCTCGGCGTTGCAAGGGGAGACTGTGGGTTCGATTCCCTCAGCCCTCAATCTCCCCTGTGCATGATCAGTTGGCATTTGGTTTCGCACCCCCAGGTACTGGTCCTCCACCCTAGTGCAGCGCCTATACAGACTAGTGGACATTGGTTGAGTTTACGATGTTGTACGTATGAGGTCCAGGGTTCAATTCCATTCAGCTTTCATACAACCATAGAACCACATACACTGGTTAAGGGTTCTATTCTTTTCAGTGTACATACAATCATACACCCAACATGCAACTGGTGGAAATGGGCTACAGAGTGGCAGAAGAATGGATGGTGGCGAGTAACTCCCCTGCTGAGTAACTACTGAGGATAGGGTTCGATTCCATTCAGCGTTGAACTTCATGCAACCATACAACCGCATACACTGCTTAAGGGTTCTATTCTATTCGGCACACATACAATCATACACCCAGCATACAATCATACACCCAGCGGATCCCACTTCTACCATTTTTCATAAGAACGTAAAAGTCCCGCACAAGGTGGAGGCGCAGCCCACGGAAGGTGAAAGAAAAACTTGACCCCACATGCCCTACTTCTGCATATCGGCCTGTCAGCACGAAACCGATATATTGGTGCATATCCGCCCGCGCGTGTCAGCACGAAACCGGCACCACTTCGGAGGCCGCCGATTTTTTTTTTTCAACGGCGGGCCTGGCCGGCGCCTCCGAGTTTTGCTTGTGGCGACAAAAACTTTCTGCAAGGCTGGGGCCGTGTGTACAACCGTTCGGGGTTTAAACCACCAGTATTTGGCCCAGCTATCGAGTCCGAGCCTCGGCCGACCGGTGCCGAGGCTCGGACTACCGGGCACAGGCATCCCGAACGTCCATGTCAAGTACACCAAAAAAACGGAAAAAAAAAACGGAAAAAAGAAAAGGAAAGAAAAAGCAAGAAAAACGAATGGGTTCTGCAGCTCCTGCTTCCTCGCGCGCGGGGGAGAGAGAGAGAGAGAGAGAGAGAGAGAGAGACCGCTATTGCCGCTGCCCTCCGTGCAGCGCGGCGTCTCTCTCTCTCTCTCTCTCTCTCTCTCTCTCTCTCTCTCTCTCTCTCTCTCTGTGTGTAAGCGGGAATGATTCTTCCCGCGGAAGCGGGAAGATTCATTCCCGCTTTGCGTTTCCGACGGCTAAGCGGGGATGAATCTTCCCGCCCGCTTTGAAAGTCGCAGAGAGAGAGAGAGAGACGCCGCTATTGCCGCTGCCCTCCGTGCAGCGCGGCGTCTCTCTCTCTCTCTCTCTCTCTCTCTCTCTCTCTCTCTCTCTCTCTCTCTGTGCTACTTTCAAAACGGGAATGATTCTCGGGAAGAATCATTCCCGCTATTCGCACCATGAATGAATGAAAGGTAGGTTTTCAGCCACATACCTGCGTGTATGGTCTTCAGTGCGAGAGGAAAAAGCCCATAAAGCCCATATTTTCCCATCACCACGAACGTATATAATGCAGCTACCAGTCAGATGCCGGTCAGATGCAAGCGCTGCTCCGTTGACAGGCATGAATGAATGGAAGGCGGTTTTCAGTCACAAACATGCTTGGATTTTTCCGTTCGTTTTTTTCGTTTGTGTATTTTAGTTTTTTTTCCTTCTTTCTTTTTATTGTTTTCTCCACAGATGTGTCGTCCCTACAGAACCGGGGCCCGGCCTTCGCGCAACGACCGGGCCTTCCCTTGGCCGACCCCCCTATGGCTGCGGCGCGTATACGGGAAGGCCCGCGGCCGATGTATGGCCCAAGTACTGGTGGTTTAAGAAGTCGAACTGGCCCAGGTGTGAAATTCCAGGTGGCCCGCTTTTCCCGTCGGGCAGGCGTAATCCACTAATTTTCCAGCGGGTTGACTGCCTCGCAGGTGCACCAGCCTTCTCTGTCCCATAGGCCCAAAATCGCAATTTGCTCTCCGTCTCCTAGGGCCCCGTCAACAATTTCGCTCGTATCTGATCGGCCCGCTCTGCGATTTTGCTTGGGGAGGTGGGGGGTGACAGCCACGTCAGTACGAAGATAGGTGGGAGGCTTGAGTGGAATTGGGATGAGGTGAGGGGGCCACATGAAAGGACAAAAGACTGCCGAAAGATCTGATACATAGAAAAACGGCCGCTACATTAGTGGTAAGTCAAGGTCATAATTCATCATCATCAGCAGCAGCAAGAGCACCAGCAGTGAGAAAGGAGGAGGAGGAGGAGGAGGAGGAGAAGGCGATGGTGATGCCGTCGTCTAACAAAAATACCCATGACTACCGTCTTTCCCACAGCACAACGCACCGTGATCATGAACGTATACAGGCTTTTTTTTTTTTTTTTTTTTTTTGAACGTATACAGGCTATTTTGCCAGTCCAATACAGTAAGCATGAGGGTGTGTTGCATTTGGGGAAAGAGGGTAGTGAAAATGGGGCACCATTGGCTACGGCTTCTCGATGCCCAGCTCACTTTCAGTTGTAAATTTTTCATTCAATTTTTCGTTGGTCGAGGGATTTCATCATCATCATCATCGCCGCGCAGGGTCATTACCCGCATCTGTTTTGCCCATCATCATCATCATCATCATCATCATCATCATCATCATCATCACCACCATCATCACCACCATCGTTATCATCACCATCATCATCATCATCATCATCATCATCGTTGCCATTGGGATCGTCCATCGTTATCATTAGGATCATCATCGTGCTGCATCTCTACCGGAATCATCATCATCACCAGGAGCAGCATTATCATAATCGTCGTTACCATCGTCATCATCATTATCATCATCATCATCATCATCATCGTCTGAATCACCATCAACCAATCATCATCATCTTCATCATTGTCATCAGAATCACCATTATCATCGCCATCATCGTGCTTCATCTTTACCCCGATCATCATCATCATCATCATCATCATCATCCTACTACTACATCTTCACCGGGATTATCATCATCATCGTGCTCCATCTTCATCAGATCATCGTCATCATCATCATCATCATCATCATCATCATCAATCACATCGTCTTCGTCTTCATCATGATCATCATCCTCAACCGCAAAAGTAGTACCATCGTCCCCGTGACCATCATCGATATTAGTAATATCAACAAAAAGAAGATTACCGAGCGCATCTGCTGATGAAGACGAGCGCATCTGCGAGTCTTTTTCTTTTTCTTTTCGGTTTCTCTTTTCCACCAAAATCCAATTCGCCCAGTTACCTTACCTTGTTGCTCGGCCTTTCTTCTCTTTTCATAACCTTTCTTTTTTAGTTTCTCGACATTCTCCATCATTTTCATCATGAAATGTGTCGTCGCACTCCCGAGGCGTCGCACGCCCACAGGAAGCACTCCGGAGGCGTCGCACGCCCTCAGGGAGTGCTCTCCCGAGGCGTCGCGCGGGCCCCAAACGAGAAAAAAAAATTGCAGCAGGTCCCAAAAATTGAGGCAGGTCCAAAAATTGCGGCAGGTCCAAAAATCACTTTTGGTGTCATTTTCGCACCCCGGCTGGCCCCCGGGGCGAGGTCCCACTTGCGCAAATTAGGAGATTTCGGCCGTTGATCCTTGCGATCTACGGTCCATATCGCTTAATTCGTGTAAGTGGGACCTCGGCCCGGGAACGGCCAATGTGTAAAAATGGCGGGAAGTGTTTTGCACGCTGAAAAAATGGCGGGAAGTGTTTTGCAGGGTGAAAAAATGACGGGGAAACGGGGAAAGTGATTTTGTTGCCTGCGGCACCTTTTTCCCCGTTTGAGGGGGGGGAATAAAAACAAAGGTTTCGTCGCGGGAAGCTTTTATGACTTTTCCCTTTTTTTTTTTTTTTTTTTTTTTTTTTTTTTTTTTTTTTTTTTTTTTTTTTTTTTTTCCCATTCTTCTTTTTTTTTTTCTCAGTTTATCAGGGATGAAATCTGTTTTATCAACTTTTATGACTTTTCCCCATACTGAGAGGACACAAACTCAATCCGGGGCGCGGTCCCACTTGCACGGATTAAGAGATTCTGGCTGTTGATCTTTGCTATCTACGGTCAATATCGCTTAATTCGTGTAAGTGGGACGTAGCCCCCGGGGGGAAGAACAATGTATGACACGCCCAGAGAAACCGGACGCAAAAAATCGCCACACAGAAAAGAGGCCTCCCGCAGTTTTCAAGCTGCATTAAGAGCGGCTTCCAGACTAGATACAGACAGAATGAACAGGCGTTGTATTCCGGGAAACAAGGCCGCGAGGAGTGATCATACACAGAGAAAGCCCTCCCGCCTCAATCATGCACAAACGAGGGAAGAAGAAGAAGAAGAAGAAGAAGATCTCAAGATATGACAAATCCAATCAATCAATAGTCTCCTCGTCTGAACAAACCTCCGCCTGCATTCTGCGCCTCTTCCCCCCCCCCCCCCCTCCCTCCGCACCAACAACTTGTTTCCGATCTATTCCGAGAACCAACCCTCCCCTGCGATCAACCCATGCGAATCTCTGTGTCGTCCCTCGAAGAAGAAGAATAAAAGAAGCTGCCGAGCAGCAGGAGACGAAGAGACGAATAAGAAGAGCTCAGCGCTCTCTCTGTGTGTGTGTGTGTGTGTGTGTGTGTGTGTGTGTGTGTGTGTGTGTGGACATATTCGTTATACACGACTCCACAAAGAAAAGCATGACTGTGCCAGAGTGTTTCGTCGGACTCGACCGAGTTTTTTTTTTTTTTTTTTTTTTTTTTGTGTGTGTGTGTGTGTTGTCGTATTCGCTATACACTAAAAAAAAGCATGACTGTGCCAGACTGTTTCGTCGGACTTTCACCGACTCACCAGGAGGTTGTGTGTGTGTGTGTGTGTGTTTGAGAGAGAGAGAGAGAGAGAGAGAGAGAGAGAGAGAGAGAGAGAGAGAGTGTCCGTGGATGAAGGTACTCACCGGCCGATTGGATGTTGAGGAATAGGATGACCCGTTGCATTTACAGTTTTCACATTTCGCTGTCGCGCCACGACACCCGAACTCACCAACCCAGGGACCAATAGCCCTGCGCCAACGCAGCTCCTATCCGATCTGCACAATGGAGACCAGGTGTTTGAAAAGGAGACCTGGGGCCAAGTCCCACTTACCCGAATGATCGATTTTTGACCGCAGATTCGGAGGATCAACGACCAAAAACGACGGATCAGCGTAAGTGGGACTTGGCCCCTGGTCTCCATTGTTCAGATCCGATAGGAGCCAGCGGAGACCGGCCTGCAAGTGGTCTCGTTTGCCAGCGGACGCGGCAATGGCCCGTAGAGAGAATATGTCCCTCTCTCCACTACACACCAAATGTCCGAAATGATGCATAAGGCAGAGGTTGGTGATTCGGGTGCTGTATGTCATGGACTACCGGCATTGTAAAACGGCGATTCGTCAGGTGTGTGCACATTTGGTGAGGGGTCTGAAATATCGAGCTGAAAGAAATGATTATCAGACGTATGAGGCTCTTTTGATGTGGCAATAAGTCGGTTGGGGATTTGATTCACAACCACCAACTGGCTGCAAGAAAAACCGGCGATTTCCGATTCAAATGTGTGGATGCTGATGCTGGTTTCCCTCGTGTCATTGGTCACGTTCCTGTGAATATATGTTGAACTCCAACAATATCCTGTGTCCGTCCTAAGCAGGTCCTATCTTTAACTTGAATTTGAGACTTCAAATTCTTTGATCTTGGGCCTCGCCACACCACTCTCGAAATGTGAAAAAGACAAAAATGTGGCGCGTGCATCTGGTCATGTTCTAGCCGGAAGTTCATTCTCATTTTGCACATTTCGAGAGTGGTGTGGCGATGCCCCTTTTCAAACTGTCAATTCTTCCAACAACAAAAAAAAAAAAAAAAAAAAAAAAAAATTGTCCTGAACTGCGGTCTGAACTTCTCAATTCTGAACTTCTTTCTTCCTTCATTCTTGATTCCTGTGTGAGGGCCTCGCCACACCACTCTTGAAACGGGGAAATTTTTCAAGAGCTGTCAGACCTTCTCGAGATTGGGTCTTCAAGAGTTTTCGGCCCCTCGCCACACAGCACTCTCGAAAGGGCAATGGTGTTAGACAGAGGGTGAAAAACGACAGTCATACAGCTTTGTTTTTTTCGAATGGAGTCAGGATAACGGCCTGACAACTCTTGCAAATCGAAAGTCCCTCAAGGGTTCGGGCAAGGACGCTTGGAAATGAAAGAGTTGCAGGCTGGGGTCTCCCATCTTTCAAGAGCTGCTCTTGAAACGGTTTCAAGAGCCCCTCTGACAGCTCTTGACTGCCCCAAGTGTCAAGAGGCTGTGTGGCGATGCAGCAACTCTTGAAAAAGACTTTTCAAGAGTGGTGTGGCGAGGCCCTGAAGAAGCAGATGGAGAAGCAGGTCCTATCTTTAACTTGAAATTTGAGACTTCAAATTCTTTGATCTTTTCAAACTGTCAATTCTTGTCCTGAACTACGGTCAGAACTTCTCAATTCTGAACTTCTTTCTTCCTGCATTCTTGATTCCTGTGTGAAGAAGCAGATGGAGAAGCTTGTCGGACTGGTGTGTTCGCCGTTGGATCACAATCCTGGTCATACATGTGTGCGTTGCCCGGTTGTATATGGCCTTGGTATGACTAAACTGTTCCTGGAGAACTCTATCAGTCTTGAAAACTGCCATATTACAAAATATCGGGGGTTTGAATCCCTCTCCATCCGTTCATGTATGTTAATTTACGGATAATGAATTCAGTATTGAAAATGATTATCGAGGAAGCTCGAATCTTTCATTTGTTGGAGTGGATGAGTCAGAGAAGACGGTGGGAGCTACTTGTAAACAAAAGTACGTTGAACGTGGGTTTGGTAAGATTCGGACATGGAAGCAGGATGGGATGATCAGGTTTGCTTACTAGTATACACCTAAACACAAAGACGTAAACCGATGGCGGCCGATACGCCCATCGTATTTCGGAAGGATCAGTGTTTAGGGCTAGACTTGTGGCCAGAGCTATCAATTGTCTTTCGTGGAGGTTACCTGAGAATCTGCATTTTAACCTCAGACGAACGGACGATTTGAGAAGATTGGAAGTGTCAATGAGAGGACAAAGACGGGTGGAGCATTGGTTTGGGGCTCATTTGATATCAAAGAAATGTTCTTTAGCCTATCTCATCACTCTATATTGTGGGCACTGAATTGGTACTAATGGACTACTGGTGGGTGTTAGTACGTAAGCAAGGGAAGGTTGTGAGGTTGATGAAAGGGAAAGGAGAAGAGGGCTGCATTTTTATCAAGTTTTGAAGATTGTTTCTTTTGTCGATTATGAGTTGGGGAGAACCTATGTTGTGGCAGCAGGGCGACTGTTGCTTCAGATAGTGTGTATTCCAATCGGAAAAAAAAAACACCAGCCCTGCCCTGGCTTGCCTGCTGTGTGCGTATAATGAGTTTTCGTTCCACTCGTCGCTCAATGAGGATAGAAGACTAGGTGTCTGGATGCAGAATGGTGGATGAAGTTTCAGTGTTTGTCAGATATCAGCTCAAAGATGACGCTTCGAGACAACGTGCGGAGCAGATATTGGCCCGATTTCGTTAATGTTATGATGAAGGACTGACGTTGGAGCAGATGAATAACGGGCAAGAGTGGGAGTTTATTGGGTGCGAGATGAGGATGCTGACGTATGAGGGTTGTTTGGTGTCGTAATAAGTCGATGGGGGATTTGATTTACAACCACCGACTGGCCGCAAGAAACAATGATTTCATATTCAAATATTTGGAGGTAGATGCTGATTTCCCTCATGACAATGGTCACGTTCCGTTTCGCCTTCGGGACTTGCCGCATCATGTTCCTGTGGGCTATGTGGCACCCTCGGCCTCGAATCCCGCTGCCTAGGAGACGGCCTAGGAG